TATTCCCTCCGAGTTCCACCTGAGAGAGGGTTCAAACGGTTCAAACGGTTTAAAAGGTTTTGGGCCCAAACCTTTCCTCTGAGAGAGGGTTTAAACGGCTTCAACGGTTTTGGGCGCAGACGTTTTCTCTGAGAAAGGGTTTAAACGGTTCAAACGGTTTTGAGCCCAGACCTTTCCTTTGAGAAAGGGTACGGTTTAAATGGGCGAAACAATTGAGTTGGAGAGTTGTTTTTCCGTTTGCAGAGTCAGAGGTAGTGGGCATCACAGATGAAGACAAACAAACAGGTCGACATTTGGGGGGGGGGGCGAGGGGGGGACCTAATGTATGCATATATATATATATCTACCATGTGTATATATATATATATGTATTGCTATAGCCTGACTTCCAGAGCCCACACTCTGCTGCACACCAACACAGGACTTGACAAAAGCATGGTCCCAAAGGCGGCAAGCCCTTGTCATTTTGAGGTTTCTCGTTAGCCTCCAGAACCAATACCTTCCCCCGCAACTCGGAAGTTCAGGACGCCTTGGATGCTGGGCTTGAGGAGGGCCTTGCTGATGGCCCCGGTGTTTCTACCACTATGCTGGGCGGTAATTAGGCTAGAAGGAACCACTCTAAGTTCATATTCACGGTGGTTTCCTGTTGCTCTGGAAAGGTGAAATGAAAAGACACTCAGTGACGTCTCAGAGTGATCATAGGGCCTCCGAGCCTCATTTTCGGTCGTGCTTTCTGTCTTTGGGTCCCCCTCCACAACTTGCACGAGACACAAGTCCGCCCGGTTCCCCCGCAGGAAAAAAGCCGACGTCGACCAGGTGCCAAAGCAGACTCGGCCTGGCGCCGCCAGCAGCTGTTTGGCGACCACCGGGTTCCAGGAGGGCGACAGCCCCTCGCAGAGTGAGAGCTCTGTTGGCCAACGCTCGTTGGCCCATCCGCTGCTCGCAGATTCCATTTTCAGGTTGGCTCGTCTTTTTTTTTTCAGTTGGTACCCAGTTTGATTGGTTTTAACGAGAAACCCGAAGGGAAACCAATGGGAAAGATAGGAAAAACCAATAAGCACGCTCATCAGGTCAAAGTAGTTCAGCAGATTCTGATTCATATGTGCCGTACTCGCCACGTACACATAATATGTTCAGACGCGTAGCCTACAAATCCGCGGACGCAGGTCGAAAGCACTCGCGTTGGGTCTTAGTTGATGGTTAGGGTCAACATACCAAAGGACCCAAGCATTAAAAGCCAAAGCCCAATCATCCCTCGCGGTGTGGCCATGAGCATCAACCAAATCCCCACTAAAATGGGTCCTAAAACGGGTGGTGAATTCACCTACCAACCAAAATGGGATCCCAAAACGTCTTTGACCCACTGCCGTTTCCCTTTAAGGCATAGATCGCACCCAGAAACTCTCGAAGGGACACCGTGACTTCCGTCGGCCCGACTTGCAACCAGTTGCCCCTGCAGCCTCCAATGGAGCCCACGTGGAGTTGGGTGGCTCGTCTTTCTTTTGGGGTGCCCCTTGTTGCTTGGCTGACGTTGGAAGAGGAGCAACATTTTAAATTTTAGCACTCACGTGGGGATTTCTCACTAAACCACAATAAGCAAAAATGTAAATTGTTTCCCAACAACAACCATAGTTGGGTGTTTTTAGCTTAGCGGAAACCGAAGGGGAAACCGCGGCCCTTTTTGGGGGTTGCAACCTCAACAGAGACACGTGCAGTTGAATGTATCTTGGACGGGTCCTGAACCCACCCAAACACAATGCAATTGAGAAAGTCCGGGAACTGAATGACTCAATATCCCAGCTATCGCGTGCCGCATATTTAGTGAACCATAATTTGTAAAAACATTTCACACGACATCCCAGTGTTCTCGTGGGACGGCCTCAAAAAGGTCAGGCCTTCTCAACGAAGAAAGCTAACACGGACATCCCCATCCGGGTGCATCCTGCTTTTGGGTGACCTGGGAACCCCTAAACTGAGTCATAATCAACACCGGGTATTCAAATGGTCGTAATCCCAGAACCATGTAAAGAAATAAGAAGGGGGAGATCTCCGCGGCTATTTATGGCCAGGGGATTGTCCCTTACTACCCTTCATCTATCCTGGGGTGCTGTAGATCCCCCAGCAAAAAGTTTAACTTTTTGCTGGTTAAAAGGAAATATGAGGGGAATCCAAAAAGTTAAAGTCTAAAGATCCAACCCAACAGCAGTAGAGTATTGGGCTTTGAGCAAGTGGCTCGAGATGTTGTTTGCCTGGATTCCCAACACCCAAACAACTTGCGGGGTCAGCACGGAATGAGAAATTTAACGACCTCCATAAGCCGTCCCACTGGGTTTCCTTTCGGAAACTCCCAAAACCGGTTCATTCCCCAAACCCGGACTCGGTCGTTCCTTGATCAGCACCCAAAAGGGAAGACACCTGTCAACCAACAGGGGTCCCCATCCGTGTCTGTTCTTAGGCGACCCGAGGACCCCTAAAACTGTCTAGGTCCTCCAGTAGAGAGGTTAGAATAAGGGTACCCTTTTTTCTGTAGCCATTTTTTGTAGGGAAAACAGAAACGGTAAAAGGGCACCTAGCTAGAGAACCCCTAAAACTGCATTGGCTTCCCTTCAGAACCACCCCCCAAAAACCACCCCACTTCCTGTTCGACGCCTGCAGCTCCTGTAAGCGCTGGCTCTCGCGCAGCTTCTCCCCCTGACGATGTCGACTTCTTTTTTTTTGGCGCGCGCGAAAGGAGGGGGGGGAGTTCCTCAAAAGGAGCCATGGAAGGTCGAAATTGCGATTGGTTCACTGCGGCTCAGGTGCTGAGTTTGATGCGCAGGACTTGAGCCAGCTTGCTTTGACTTCGACCGGTTCCACGCGTATGTTGATTTGAGTATTCCCTAGCTCCAAACTGGGGCGGAATGACCAGGATCATCCAAGGCTGGTGGACTCCACCTTTCAAGGCTTCGGTGAAAACTACCATGATCTATGGTTCGTTTCGGGACATGGGGGAGCCCTTTTGAAGGCCCAAAATCAATTCGGGCCTGGCTGTGGCTCGCAACGGTGTGCAGCACCTTGGTGCCCAGAACTGCCAGCACCTCGGTGCGAAGCGAGATGGCCGTGGTTGTCAAAACCGTTGTGGTTGCTCCCATTTTGGTTGGTAGGCGAATTCACCATGTTAGAACCTACTTTAGTGGGGATTCGGATGTTCACTGGGGGTGCGATTTGGGTTTTGACCCATGGCCAGATGTTGTCAAGGGCCCGCCGTACAGGGGTCCAGGAGCGATTGTTCCGCGACGAAGAAGGCCTACTAGTACTAGGGGCTAACAGTGTTCCTTTTTTTGGGGTTTCCCCTCTTTGGGGGCCTCTGACCAAAATGAGATTTGTGGGAGGGTACCTGGAAAAATGGTTTTGTCAGGTGCCACGGACATGTGGCGAGGGTAAGTCTGGCAATGATTTTAGACCCAACAGGGGGGTCACCAAGGGATTTCCCCTAAAGCTGAGCAAGTTCTGAATGGTTTTCCATTGAAACGATCGCCACTCTTGGAGGTTTCAGAAAGGGAAATGGAGGAAACCTTGTTGAAGGGTAGCCCTTCCCTGTCCCAAGACTCGACTCTTTGGTTGAGGTCATTTGGGGGGTAGGCCGTGGGCCCTCACATATCTTGGGATCGTAACATCTTAGTGAGGGGCCCCCAAAACCAGCATTTCTTGGGTCCCCTATTCCCCACACGTACCCAACTGCCCAGGACCAAACACCTTCCACATGCGATGTTCGGATCTGTCCGCTTTGCCCCAGTTTTGCCCGGGACAATGGAAAGATTACCTCGGAACAGTGGTGTGAAAGAGGGGATCGGGGATCAACATGTTCCATGAACAATGGCGGACCCGGGCGACTGCTCCTGGAAGCATTTGGTCAAGCTGATTCCAAGCGGAAAAGGAACAAGAAGAAACCCAACCAAACCCCCCCCCCACCCCCTCGCTTTTTGGACAGTGTGTGGACATGGGGAAACAACAGATGTTAGGGGGGTGCTGGGCGGCTCCCGTATACCTAGGCTGTCAACGAATAGTGTGTTCCTCCCATGGCCCGTCTGTTTCCCTTGGTTGCCTGGAGCAATGAGTACTTGGCCAACTTTTAGCCGCAACCAAGGATTTCAATCTCTTCCATCATCCTAGTTTCGGGCGAAGATTGACTTGATGGCGCACGTCAGAACGTCAGAAGTCAACCCGGAAACCAAACCATACGCTGAAACCAAAACCTTGGCCAGGGTTCTCCAGTGGAGAGGATAGAATAAGGGTACCCTTTTGGCACACGGCGGGCGACGAGTTCGCCAGCTGACGGAGGGGCATGCCGCCCAACCATCTGAACAGGCCTGGTGGGACGGGTGCCCACCAGTGACACATACCACAGCCATCGCTGTGGAGAAAAGATCTGGCACTCAACGCGGTGAGGATGAAACATAAACCAGAGCGCCACCAACAAGGGCTGACGGCATCAGGTCACAAGCGTAGTCAGCAAAGCATCCACGGCATTGAGCCGGGACTGCATGGTTCGCTTCATCGGGGCTTGCCAGTAGGACAACACGATGCCCTTCAGCACAATGCCCAGGGCGCCAAGCATCTGCACAAACTTCACCATGCCATTGAGAACCCCACACTGCCAAGCGGATTCGGAAATCCGCTTGTACACGTACCCAAGTCAGGAAAGGCCAGCATCCAGGGCCGCACAGGCGCTAAGAAGGCAAAGCCAAAGCCAGCTCCCACCACCACTGCAACCACTGTACTGCTAGGCGAGGAAAGTAAACGAAAAGGCCCGAGGAAAGTCGGCATAAAATGCTGTTGCTGGGCACCGTCACGTTGAACAGCTACCGGTTGATTATCAACCCCACAAGTCCGGTAGATGAGGATGTAGCAACGCTCAAGTAGTAGAGAAAAGCCGAAACACTGTACAACTGTAGGTCTCCAGAGAGGCAAAATCACCAAGGCTACAAGGAATGTAGAGCAGCAGCACCACAAAGTATAAATCACTGCCGGAAGTGGAACTCCCGGGGAGGGACCATGAGGTTTGCACCCGGCACCTGGGGCATCAAATCGCCACCATGCAGTGAGAGGAGGGGGCCGAAGAACAGGGCCCATCCCTAACGCAGGGATGGGCACATGCAGCGGAACCCCACCAAAGCAATCCACACACCAGGACCAAAGCGAAGCAGCCATCAACGAAAGAGACCAAGCCAGGGGAAAGGGCGACACCACCAAAAAGGGGGAACAGCACGCCAACAGCACAACGGGCACAGCAGGGAGGCCACGAGGGGGCCCCGCACACGAAAAGCGGGGCACTGTGGAGGAGACCACAGCTTGGTGGACGACCAACGCACCATGGAGTGTCGCAGGTCCCCGGGGGCCCTACTCCCTGAGCTGAATGGATTTGGGCCAGACAGCTTATAAGGGTACCCTTTTCTGTAGCCTATTTTAGTAGGGAAACCCTCCCCTGTAAAAGGGCACCTAGCTGGGGGACCTAGTGGACCCAAACGGGTTGACCATGTTGACCATCCAAACAGCGCGGCCCATCTGGCTATGGATCAAAACCCAAATCGTACCAGTGAACATCCGATTCAATCCAAGCACTAAAATAGGTTCTAAACGGGGTGGTGAATTCGCCTACCAACCAAAATGGGATCCCAGAACGGTTTTTGACCAACGGCCACTTGTGGTTTTGCTTTAGGTTTCAATAAAGCCAGCAACCACCTGGGAGTGTTGTCCACCACCCACCTGGGAGGTGGTTCCTTTTAAAATTCACGGCCACATGTTGAAACCACGGCCATTTGGCTGTGGCTCAAAAAACCGACACCAAAATGTGTTGCCCTGCATGGTAAGTGGAAACATGGTTCCCAAAACCTGCGGTTTGCCCCTCCTGTTTAATTTTGAGCCACACCCATTTGTTTTTCCGCCCACTTCAACCGCCCCGAAGCCCCGAAGCCTCGGACGAGGACGGATCGACACGATCGACTCGATCGACTCGAGGTCCGGGCTGCGCGACAGGCGGAAGGCGCTGGAGACACGCTCGAGAGGCCCTCAGCGCTTGATGGCGCCCAACCCGCTGAAACACCGGGGGTCAGGGGAGTTGGTTGTGGTTTTTGACGTTTTTTGGACGGTCAGGGGAGTTGTTTGTGGTTTTTTGGGGTCAAGAGAGTTCCTGGATCGCCAGTTGCGATCGCTTTGTTCTATCCACTTTACCCCCAAACACCAGAAACAGTGGCTGAAAACAGCAGCAACGTGGCTATCTAGGTTGCTTGTGGCTCTTTGGACAGCTGGCTTGATCCCCCCAAAAAAGGATGGCTGATTTTGGACAGGCTGCCAACATAATTGTTCCTAAGGTTGATGAATAGAGCCTTGTCTGCCGTGAAAAGATGGGCGGGGTAAGTCTGGCAATGATCCTACAATTCACGAAGGAATTGCCCAATTCGCAGCTTGAGCAACTTACGGTCTTCCATTGACATTGGCACATTTGGAGGTTCCAATGAGGGAAATGGAGGAAGCCCCTACAGGCCTTGAGGCTGGCATGGATTGTCGGTTGCGAAGCAAGTAGACCATAAATAATATGTGATATGTCCATGAGGTCCTGCTGTCTCAGTGGCAACCATGTCAATCACATACACAACATACCACATCCCCGCCAACAGCCCCCTAAAAAACAAAAAACACGACACACCCAGCACCAAGCCAAAGAAACACTTAGGCCGTTTCCTGGCGAGTGATGGAGATCCTTGGCTTCTGATTTTGGCATCTAATTAGGGACCCGAAATGGACATGATAGTTCGGTGGTGTCCACCTACCGCTTTTCAGGGGGGTTTCAACCATTCAAGCTCATAGCCATGTCTTCACCTTTCGCTGGCGGCCGCTGTGCAAGCGCAAGACGACGGCATTCACACGAAGAGCTGCCGCGTCCCTTGCCTCCCATCCTTTGTGGGTCACGATTTTAAACAAAACTCAGTGACTGGCCGCAAAATGGCTGGCATCTCTTGGGTGTTCAATTTAACGAATAAATAAATCACGCCCCCAGAAAGACACATTAATCTACTTCCGGACTCCTAAACCTGGCGCTCAAAAAAACGCCCCCGCCGCTTCCTCCAAACCCCCCAGCGACCCCCCGAGCCCGCGCCGACCCTTGCGGGATACCCCTCTGGGCACTCAGGCCACCAGAAAGACGCTGATCACCGCAGTGGGCGCGATGGCCTGCTTCCAGAGCCGCAGCCAATAGCGGCTCCTCAGCAGCACCTTCGCTTCGATTCGCAGTTCCCCCGCTTCGAAGGCTTCGGCAGGTCCCATGCGAGGCGACACATCCACAGCCGGTTTGTTCCTTGTCCTTTTTTTTCAAAACACACACACACAAAAAGAAACCAACACAAATAAAACAACACAGAAACCGGTGGGCTGAGGGGGAAAACGGCATTTGGAAGGCAACAAGAAACAATTGGTGGACGATAAATTCTGGAACTGGGATTGGCATGTTTTCTGTGTTCCGCATGTTCGTCAGGAGCAAAGAAACCAGCTGGCCCCAAACGATGTCCTGTGACTTAGACTCCACTTGCTGCCATGAAGGGTAATATACCATTGCTAGACAAAGAATCTCTAAGGCTCTTGACAGGACTCAACGCAAACCTTGGGGACCCTCCAACCCTCCAACCCCCCAACCCTTCTGAAAGACCCCGCAAAAAAGCGCTAGTATCTGGGAGATCAAGGGTTCTATGCCCCGGTACATACCCCGTCCTACAAAGACAACAAGTCCCAACTTGGGACCAAAGCGGCATTTCAGATCTCCGCTAGGGGGTCAGCCCCCGTAGAAAAGCAAACCGCACCATTGAAAGGCACGAGAAAACGTAAATCCCTTTTGGTTCCGTTCAAGCCAACGAACGGGTACCCTCCAAACACAACACACACACACACACCCTTGTTCAATTTCAGTCTTTCTAGAAACACCCGTTCGGGCATGAGATGGTGTGGCAAAAATAGGGATTTGGACCCAAACAAGGGCTTTCCTTTTGGGTTCCTTTGAACCACACCCCAAACATTTGTGTACCGACTCCAATTTTGGAGGGTGGGACCCACCAAGAATTGGTGCTCCTTCTTTCTTTCCCGCACTCGCCTCGGTGGCCGCGTGCCGGCGTGCTGGCTGCAGCCAAAAGCCGGCGAAGCCTGCGACAGTCCCCGAAGGGTTCGGCACCTGCTCTGGGAAACGGTTTGGATGCGGTTGCGGATCCACCTCTGGATATTCAATGAGTACTAAACGAGTACTAAAAAAGAACCTACAGGGGGAAGAACCGGTGAAATTCACCTGTTGAGCGCATCCAAACCGTTTCCTAGAATTGCGGGTTGGTCGTTGGCTTGGTTTCAGGGGGGGTCTTTTGGCCTCTGAGAAAATGAGGGGTCTTTTTGACACCCTCAAAGAGGAATTTTATTAACAAGGTCGAGCATTTTTCCACCAAAGGTGGCAAAAAGACCCCCCTGCTTGGTTTGCCCTTGGCCTTTCCCCCTGTTCCACGTCCTCTGCACCCTCACAGCCCCTTAGGGTTCCACCCTCAAACCAGTACCCAAGAGAACATGGAATGCACACCCCGCATTTTTACATACGGTGGGTTACATGGAAACTACCACGAAAAATTAAAAGGCTAAAAAGCGAAGGGGATGGCTGGGAGCCACCAAGATAATTATCTACCATGTCCTTACACCTGGTAGTTTCTTCGCTCCCTCTTTTTCTCAGCAAATTTGGTACCCCGGCGGAGGCATCGGTTTCCCCTGGTGACGATCAAATCTGGGCAGTATCATCTTCTCAGTTGCCCAGTGGCCATGGAAAAAAAGGATCGGCATCCTTTTTAGGGTGGTTCAGTTAGGAATCGGAACTCTCCCAAGACAGCAGTGAAGAAAAAAGGGTGGAACCCACTAGTTGCAACTGGGTATTGCACCAACCTAGGAGAAACAAAAGAGCCTTCTGAGTAGCAAATCAGGGGTGTATAAGTCGGTTGACATGTGGTGAATGCCACTTTGGGCCCAACGCCGAGGTTCCCAGCGCCTTGACTCCATCCAACCACCAGCCAGGTTTCATATAGTGTCCACATCCCGCATAGTTATCATAGGACAATAGATCCCCCATATGGTTATAAACTATATGGGATAACTATAGTGTTATCATGGCTAATGTATCCCCCATTATGTACTACCATACTCGGTTGCTTTCTGCTCCCCTGCTAAAAGTGTAACTTTTAGTGGTTTGATAGGACACCCTCTTAGTTGCTAAAGTCCTAACATCCCTTGGCAACATGCACCAAAGCATAGTTGTATCATGCCCCATTTTCCCTTGGCAGTTGCGACAATCTGGCCGAGATCGAGCCTGGCCTAGCAGCCAAAGCACGTCCAGCAGGATCATGCATTGCCTTCAGGCAGCAAAAGCTGTTCTCAAATTTGGTTGACGTTGGAAGGGGAGCAAAGCTTTAACAAAAATAGCAGTTAAGTGGATTTCTCACTAAACCACAATAAGCAAATATGTAAAATGTTTCCCAACAACAACCATGATATCCCAAAAACTGAAGAGGGGTATCCCAACAAGTGAAGAGGGGTCCCCAACAAGTGAAGAGGGGGCTCAAATGCCCGGTGGATTTCCATGGGAAAAAATCGGCATCCTTTTTGTGGTTGGTTGAGTGTAAAAGGGAACCCTTCCCCCCAAAAAAAGAAAAAAGGGCACCACTGGGCAACTGGGGGGGTCTTATCTTCCCCACAACAAAGTCCACGGTCAAGATATGCTTTTTTCGGATGGGAGTGCCCCTCCAGTGACTAGTGTTTCTGTAAAACAAGTCCAATGGAGGAATCATGCACCCTCTCAGAATAGTCATTAGTGAGGATTTGGTTGAAACTTCGTGATCCATCCAAGCCCCTCCCAAAGTGAGTATGGACTACTGGACATCTTGGCCCAACCTCACCACGGGGCATCTGAGAACGCTGCACAAAGCCATTGAGAAGTCTCTACCGAGAGGGCTTCTGCGGAAATTGTGCCGCTTACGTGCCCCAGATGGAACCAGCTAACCGCGAGATCACCAAGCAGGAGGACATGTCACAAGGGCGAGCCAGCCCACCATTGACAACTAAGACACCCTACCGTTTGAATACAGTCTGCCTGGTGTGGTGTTTCACTTTTCGATTGGTTGTTTTTTGGTGGACATCAGATGGTGTTTTGCGTCCATCTAATTTGTCAGGATGTTCCTACCAAACATACAAAGCTGTTTAGGTTTTTCTCCCACTCCCAAAACAAAAGAACAAGTTGGGCTTCCCGGTAGGCTCAGAGCGCTTTCACATCTGCCCCGAAGAAGGACACAAGTCTGTTCACCCCAGTGTCCCAAATAATAAAGACTTGGCTCGGATTAGTAAACCCCTGGCTGAGTAAACTAGGTCCTCCAGATTTGAGAGCTTAGAATAAGTTGGTACCCGTTCTTTCTTTTCTTTGATTGTTTTTTCTGTACTCAATTTTGGTAGGGAAACCCCTCCGCCAAAAAAAGGGTGAGAAAAGGCACTACTGGTACCCTATTTTTTCCTGTAGTCAATTTTGGTAGGGTTCGGAACCCTCCAAAAAAAGAAACGGTCGGGCACCGATCGCTGGGGGACCTAGAATCGGCCACCTGACCAATCCAGTCTCAAAACGGCAGCTGCCGAGCTGCCAGTGGAAGTCCTGCGATTCCAACCAAAAAAATCCGCGCGGTGCAGTTCCAGGAGGCTACACCGAAACGTTGAGAGGGGGAAAACGTCTAAACACTTAGAGGGGTCCTTTTGCTTTTTCGCCCCCTGGAAAAAGTCAAAATATGTCCAGTAGTCATAGATGGCCTTTAAAACCAAAAGGGGAAAATGAAAAGTATTCTTAAGCAAATGGAAGGAGGGGGAATACGTCTCAACAGAGGGGGAATACAATTAGAGGGGAATATATGTCATTGCTTTGCTCTGAAATGCTGTCTAGAGTCCGGCGTGGCTGGGAACCGAGGATGTGAACAACCGACAATATTGCCGTAAAATGATAGGAGTTGTCCAAAACTTATATATATATATATGTATATATTATGTATAGATTATATATATATATATATATGTATACATATATATAAACATATATACTCAGTTGCTTTCTGCTCCCCTGCTAAAAGTTTAACTTTTAGTGGTTTAGTGGAAAAACTATTAGTTGGCAAAAAGTTAAAGTCCTAACAGCCAAGCAAAATGCACCAAAGGATATATGTATATATGTATATGATATATATATGTATACTATATATATATATATATGTATATCTTCGATATCCATCCAGCGGCAAATACTGACCAGAGATCTCTTCTCACCTGCAACCAAAGGACCTGGAAAAGAGGGCATCGTGCCGGTTCCACACCCGGGGGGGGGGGGGGAGGGCGGGGTTTTGACGCCAAGTTGACTCCATGCAACACGGTGAACTAGTTGCTAGCGGTTGGGCACGTTTGCTCAACCTGCAACAGTGGTCGAACAAAGAAAAAGTCATGTTCAAACATATCTTAACCTGATCTCAATCAAGCTCATGATCAGCCAGGAAGCGCGCACCTTCTGGATGGTTCTTGAGAAAGCACCTTCTTCAAAGGTACTTGGGTTTGTCTCAAAATAGCGGACCAAAAAAATCGGAGATTTTCCTTGTGGTGTCCCTTGAAAAAATGTCAGCTTCCCCTCAGGCGGCTTGGATTGGTGGTGTGGTCAAGGGGTGGTTGCCCATTTACCTAAAAGGGCTCAAATCCCCAAGCTGCCAATCCAATCACCAAAGGGGATGTCCTTTCAAATCGACCCGACCCACTTGGCTGTGGTTTGTCCAAAATCGGATCGCCCCAAAATGGGTTGCCCGATCGGTAAATGGACATATCGACGATTAAGCCTGCGGTGGGTTTCATATTGACCCACACCCTCTTGAGTCATAATCAAAACCCGGTATTTAAATGATCGACCCAGCACAATACCTCAAGAATTAAGAAGGCTGCATTCCGCAGCTAATGGTCGGGATTGTCCCTTGCTAACCGGATCATCAGACACGCCCATTCAGACACACCCATTTGAGAAACCCATGCTAACCTCAAAACCCATTCATCAGAGCACTTCATCTACCGTCATCTACCCAGGTTCCCCCACAATCCATGTATGCAATACTTATCTTATCCTTCACCTTAGCCTTCAATAATCCCCTGGTTTCGGTTTTCAGCAAGTGGCTCACTTGGAGCCTTCGGACAAAAGCCGCCGCTGCTGCCGGGTGCCCCCACCCCCCCAAGCCCCGCGAGACCCCGCGAGACCCCGCGAGGTCCAGCCAAGAGGAGCGGGTGAGGAGAAACCTCGGCTCCGGCGTCAAAGGAAAATCCAACGGACACGATCAACAAGAAATGACCGAGGCTATTTCAACGGGTGTTTCTTTTTGGGGAAGTGGAAACAGAATCTGGACTTGCTGGCTCCCAGCTTTCCGGTTCCTTAGCTGTTTGGCTCATTAGTTTGTTTAGTGGTGGGATGTCCATCTAAACCACTAAAAGCTAGACTGTTTGTAGATCTGAAAATGGGCAGCCCAGTGGAGATATGGCCGTGGGTCAAAATCCAAAATTCCGTACCCCGACTGAACATCCGATTCAATCCAACCACTAAAATGGGTTCTAAAATGGGTGGTGAATTCACCTGGCCCAAAATGATTGGTCTTTGGATTTGACACACGGCCAGGTGTTGGTCCCCCCTGAAATGCGAGAGTGGAAAAATTCGGTGGGCCCGTGTTTTTTTTTGTTGTAAAGCTGTTTGTTTGCTATTTTTTTGTTGCATCCTGCTCTTTAAAATGGAAGGCGTCCTTTTTGGTCTGCCTGTTAATGCCAAGGACGAGGGGTCTGAATCCCATTTCGGGATTCTCCCAATTTGGGAGTTTCATCAGGACTAGTTGCTCACTTTCAAGGGAGGTCCCTTAGGCCAAAACCGTCCCAAGTCCAGACTTTAGTTTACCACTAGAATGGTCTGCCCAGAATGGCCAACCACTTTGGTTTACCACTTTAGTTTACCTGTATCTTTGCCAGAGGCTCAAGTGAAGCTACTCTCAAGACTTCAACCCCGGCTGGAGTTGTCACAGACTGACCCTGAAACCCGGACCGGTTCTTGGGCAACACCTGGCCAGGCGTCCTTTGCTCGAAGCCAAATGGGCGGTGGTCTAAAATAGGATGCCACATCCGGCGGATCTGCCGCCTATATTTTGGCCCGCTGTTGACAACCCCCATGTGGCTGTTTGTTTTTGTCAAGCCCCGAAAGAATGATCGACCCAATCTAGATGATGAGAATCCTTAGGTAAACAATGGTGGTTGAAAGCCCCAGAAGCCTCTGGGCAAAAGGAAAACAGGTGGTTACCTACATAGTGGGACCTGCCTGGGATCCAAGGGCGGTTTAAGCCTACGACCGCACTTGCGAAGCCAGGAAATTTGGGGATTGACAAGTTTAGGATCTGTAGTTATAGGTCACCAAGGGCGTGCCACCCTTTAAAACCAGAAGGGACATAAAAGTGGTTGCCTGCCAGGCTTGCGACCAAGGAAAATAGGTGGTTACCTACAGCGGGAACTGCCTGGGATCCCTGTAATAGAAGGTAACCAAGAGAACCACCCTTGACATACCACAAGGGACATTTGTTTAAACCGAGAGCCCAAAGAAGACCTCGGCTTTTGCATCGCAAATCCGAGGAGCAGAGACATGGCCAGCGCCGGCACCACCCGAGCAGCCACCAGGTCCTAAGGCCGCATGTGGATTTTGCCAAAACCCGAGCTGACGGTTGACGGAGTGGGCGCGTCTCTGTTTCCTTTTTGAGTAGGTACCTAGACTCTCTAGGTCCTCCAGTAGAGAGGTTAAAATAAGGGTAACCTTTTTCCTGTATATAGTCTATTAGTAGGGGAACCCTCCCCCACAAAAGGGAAAAAGGGCACCACTGGCGGACCTAGCTCTCCATGACCCTTCCAAAATCGGTCCACCCCATTATTTTGGGTCATGACCAACCTTTTTTTGAGTGTCATGGAGACTCCAGGTGCCTTCGGTGGCTTTAAAGGGAAACAAACAGGAAACCCGAAGCCATTTTGGGGGGGCTCCCTATTTTCAGACACACCCAATTGGCGGTTTGGATTGGTTTGGAGGTTTGGGGGTGGTCTCCATGTCAGATCAAAGTTTTGAATAACACAAATCGCCCCTACACGCATACATGAATTAATGGGCAACCATCTGGGCAAGTCTCCGCTTCACCTCGCTCAGCGCAGAATATGATGATGGCAATCATTAGCGAACGTTCACATGCAACATGAGTTCAGAAGAGATCCCTCAGGAAACCCACTCACAACTGAGCAACAAAGGAACTTGAATTGCAACCATCCAAGCAATTGCTTGAGGTCAACAAGCAAACCTACCTCCAAAAACTACTTTTAAGAACGCGCTCCTTAAACTGCAACAACTTGACATGGGTTCAAAGATTTCGGGCCAACAAGGAAACATATGTTCAACGCAGTATAAACAAATCCTGAGTAAGTATGCCAAAAACAAAAAGAAAAGGAACAAACACAACAACAAATGGCTTTTGACAAAAAAGGAGGCCAGTCACCTGATACGCGTTCTTCCCTGCCACCGACCGGGGGGGGGGGGGCTGACACGCCCAGCACGCTGCATCTTGGGTCCATAGCCAAGGCGTTGCCATCCAGCTTGCCCTGCTCGATGGTCGGGTCCTCGCTGAAGGAAACCGAGAAGCCACCTGCTTTTTCTTAGATAAGTAGATACCTGGACCCTCAAACTACCCATTAAAATGGGATATCACCCCATAATTTTGGGGGTCAAACCCATTTTTAAGGGAATTTTGAGGGTTCAGGAAATTAGCTTGGCACCTGATATGGCCGTGGGTCAACACCCATGGTCATTTGTTGCTGCCTCTGTGCGGGGCAAAAAACGGTACCCCAAATAGAAGCCTGGAAAATGGAACCAAGGACTAAAACCTCACCATGCCGTGGATGGTTGCGATTTCCATTTCGCACCACCCAAAAAACCCATGAAAAACGACTCGAAATACCAACAAGTGGTTTCAACCATGGATTTAAAGTGGTGCAGGATTTCGTCCATCCACAGTAGCTCGGCACCAATGTCCCCAGATCCCTTGGTGCCCTTGGAAGGTGTTTGAGTGTGTTTGAGGGGCGACATTTTATAGCTTCTTCGGTTCCAAGCGACCGACATGCGAAGCCATGACGGGCAAGATTAGCCATACCAGGCAAAATTGACCTCCCTCTTTGCATTTTTGGGGCCAGGTGACCTACCAAAATCCAACGGACACGATCAATGAGAAATGACCGAGGCTCTTTCAAGGGGTGTTTCTTTTTTGGGGGAATGGAAACAGAATCTGGACTTGCTGGCTCCCAGCCATCCGGTTCGTTAGCTGTTTGGCTCTTTAGTTGGTTTAGTGGTGGGATGTCCATCTAAACCACTAAAAGCTAGACTATTAGTAAAATGGGCAGCCCAAAGGAGATATGGCTATAGGTCAAAACCCTGTACTTTCAGTGAACATCCCAATCCCCACTAAGATGGGGAAAATGGGTGGTGCACCCACCCCAAAATGGGATGCCATTGGTGCTGACCCACGGCCATATCATGTTTGATGCCAAGCGAGATATCATGTACCAGTCATGGTTGGCTTCACATTTGACATTGACTAAGTAGAACATGCGTGAGCAACTTCCGAGGCTTGTCACATGCTACTCTCCCCCTTGGCGACCTGTTTTGGGTAGTTGAACGGTTGGGGGGATGCGAGCCATCTGTGGCAAGGTTGCTGTTTCCTGTAAGGACAAAACCAAAACCCAGAGAGCCCCTGGTTGAATAGTTTTTGTGAGCTTGGAAGTTGCCCTGAACATGGGGAAAAGAAAGGAAGAAATAGCAAACTAATTAAAGACGCCACGCTCATTTTAGCTTCCCTCTTCAAAATTAGCACAAACATGGCAGGTTCCCCTTCTTGCCGGTGCCCCCCCCAAAACCATGCGCCGCGGCGGCTTTTGTTGAATCGGGCGCTCGGCTTGGGCGCTCGGATCGGATGGCTCCTCCGGGCCGAGCACCACAAAGCCCAGCTGCAAGCAGCAGAAGTAGACGCCTGGGCTCCAGCAAGCTGTCTGCATTTCCAGATATGTCGAAGGGAGTCGAACCGGGAGTCGAAATGGGGCCCAAAAATTAAACAAAGCCGCCCCACTTAAGCTGGGGTTGATTGGCTTCATTATTTTACCATCAAAGTCACGCCCTAAGACGGTTAAAGAGAAACAACCCCCATTTACTGACTTTGATAACCTCCAGAAGCCGTCAAAATAATGGCCCCAGGGATGAACTCCATTGTTTGCCTTTTTCACTGTGGGGATCCATACGTAAAATGTATGGTTGGACTGCCCAAAATTTTGGATACCCCCTCAGGCAATCTGGCTAACCCAACAAGCCCCTGGTTCTACGGTTCTATTGTTCTATGGTTGTATCCATGGTTTGCCTCTTTCACTGTTTGAGGGATAAATATTTGCAGACCCCTGGTAGGGTAGAAACCCTTTTCAAGGGAGGCTGTTCATTGCCATTTCAGTGGAAAAGGCAAACTCTGATTGTATCCCCAAGGTTTCCCCCCCCCCCCCCTTCAGGGAATGAGGCAAGGAAAGAGCCCGACAAAAACCAGTCCCAGCCATTTGCTGATGTCCTCTGGAAAGAATAAGATTATATGTCCAGTGGTGACAGATTCTGTTTGAAACTAACAGAGAAAATAACGTAACTATTCTTAAGCAACTGGAAGACTACCAAACCAGATCTCCAGGGTTAAAGTAGACACCTTTCCCTTTGTGTCCGCAGGATGAAGCGCTGGGGAGGTTGCGCCATAAGTCTCAGTTGAAAACCAGGGTTAATGCATGGGGATTGGACTCCATTTGGGCGAATCGATCTCCGGTGCTGGGACTTTGCATGGAACCCGCAAAAACAGGGGTTTGTACAGAAAGTGGAAAGGAGTAAGACTACCTTGTGTTCACTGTTGGGGGAAAAGGGTACACACACATCGTCTGATGATGTTAACTTAAAAGGGTGTGTCTCTTTTTGAGGGTACCTCTTTTTTGCTACCCCTATGTACCCCTCACAAAGGTGGCTCCAAAGCCCGGAATGTTCCACTACTATCACTGCGGGGGGCGGGGGGGGGGAGGGGGCCAAACAAACATAAGGGCAAACCTCTAAACAAGAGACCTTCACGATTCCTGAGATCCGCTTGCTCCTCTTTGTAAGTTTCAACAACTGTTCCAACCATACTTCCCCTGCAAACGAAAACGTGTTGACTCACCGTGTTGACCCACAACACAAATATCCATGCAACTGAACACATGCTGAAAACCCGTCTACAGCTCCCTAAGGGTCCCGCACTAAGGAGGTACCGATTAACAGCTCTGTGCTCTCAAATGCTACCAGGGGACCCTCGCAGAAGATGGTTTGGGCTACCCTGCACGTGCATCTAGAGCAGAGCTGTACCCCGTTTCCCCATACAATGACATGATGTTGCTTCAACAGTCTCCCCGCCAACCCATTCAAACTAGTTAGGCCCTTATCTCAAAAGCCCACCTGTCGTGGAAAAGGAATCCCCTCAAAAACCAAGCAAGAAAAAGTGCCAGATTCCCCAAAGTATCACAGAACAACCACAACCCTGCTGCCACTGGACCCGTCCCGTCCCGTGCCTCCGTGATCAAGCAGACGCAGCCACACGCCTGTCGCAACCATCGACCATCGACCCGTCCCATGCCAGGCACGTGTCTGAGTTGGGCCATAAAAAACCGCGACTCGCTGCTCTGGGTTTTAAACCCTGATAAGCTAAGCTAAGAGGATGGCTGGGAACCACCAAGTGTTTCCGCCTCTGAAGTGATAAATGGGAAAAAACAATTTTAACTAGGGGGCCCAAAATGGTGGACATCATTTGGGGATTTATGGCCACCGCTTTTCAGGGCGGGGGTTCCCCATTAACATTCATAGCCAAATAAGCACGTTTCAACTAATCAAGGATTCCGATATTCGCTTCGAAAGGTGGACCAAAGGGGTTATGGCCTTTAGTACCAACAGAACATATGATCTTTGCAGAGGATCAGCCTTCAAAGGCCCCGCTTGGCCAAACTGATCCGAACCCCTGCAATAAGTTGACCTGGAGATCAAAGGACATGAAGGCAAGCCTAAAGCGCAAAACGGGCAAACAGAGTGGCGAAGTCCGGCCACGCCTGTGGGGGGGGGGGGGGGGCGCCTTCTTCATTTCAACATCGGAAGTTGGGCTAACCGCCACAACTGTGCCGCTGGAAATCGGAATCCAGAGCTCTGGGCTCTTGCTCGAGGGAAACACGTTTCTTGGATGCGCGAAGGGCTTCTTCCCGGCCCGGTCTTGGTCAATGCCACTCATTGAGTCATGGAGCAATGCGGAATGGAGTTTTGATGGACCACACAACCTTTGTCACCTGAGTGGACGTGCCAAAAAGAAGTCCAAACTTTTCGAGCGCCAGTAGCATGGTCTTCCCAAAGGAGAGTGCCTTTCTCTTGGGCCGAGCGTTAATTAGTACTGCTGGCTTACTGGGCGCACTCCGAGCGAGTTGAACTCCAACCGGAGACGCCTCGACGCTTGCCGAGCGACTGCGATGGAGGGACCGTGATGCATCCATCCATCCATCCATCCATCCATCCATCCATCCATCCATCCATCCATCCATCCATCCATCCGTCCGAGTCTATATCCACGCCCAACCACGCACATGGAGGGCTCCTGGGAGGAAATCCGGAGAATTCGACTTCCAGGACTTTCCTTTTGACCTTCTCTTCCAACAACTCGACTACTTCAGCTTTCGCCCCCCAAACCGAAGAGCTCATGTTTGATGCTGGCCCATATTTACTGACTCGAGCTCATTTCAATCCAGATTCCAAACCAGATTCCAGTCCAGCCCAGCGCTTCCAGCCACCACTATAGTAGGAAACCAGGGAGAGTAATCATGTAAAACCAAGAGGTAAAAATACAGAGGGTACCTGGAAAACCAAATTCTTGTTGGAGGGACAGGGGGGAAGAGGGTCATTCCCTACCATCGTACACTCGAATGGCCCTTGGCCCAGGGCAAATTAACAGCGAACTCAAAAACAAAGTTCCCCTCCAAAAACCAGACTTCCCCTAAATCGTTGGCTCTTGATGGCTTTTGGCGTTCCATGCTCGTCTGGGAAGCAAAGCTGGATGTCCGAGCAAGGAGTTTTTGTTGCCAAGCAATGTCAGCCTGAAGGAACATTAAGTGCAGGTCCTCAGCCCAGCTCAGTATCTAAACTACCTCAGCGTTTGCTTTCCCCCACGAAAACTAAAACAATTGTAGATGCTGGTTCATAAGAAAGCTTGAAATCCACAGCTTCGTTGGGCATCCGCGCTTAAACCACCCAAAGTCGGTCTGATGTTGCTCTTTCGGCCCCTCTGGACAGCTGCCTGCCGCTTGCAGTGGAAGGAGCTCTTGGTGGAGAACCTAACGCACGGCGCGTGGGACCATGAGCCCAACAAAGGAGCCCCTTGGGCGGGGTTGACCATTTCAAGTGGTGCAAAAGCAACGGGGGGGGGGGAGCAGGGTGGAAGAAAGGAGTGTCTGCAGGTCTCAACCCAAGACCGAAGCGGTCACAACCCAAGACCGAAGCAATAGTTTCCAACCCAAGCTGTTCCCCCTGCGTTCGCCAGTACTAAAAAAAAAAACTATTTATATTCATTATCCTCCCCTTACTTGTGTGCTTAAATTCAGCGTTGGCCATTTTTGGCGGTGAAAAAGCAAAGGGGGGAAATGGGTGCCACTGAAAAACTGGGGAAGCATGCTGCCAGTAAACAACCAAGCACATCCAACCACAGAACTCTAATAAATTTGGGTAAGTGTTGGGCGTTTCTTATGCCCTTCCAATATGAATGGTGTCCACCGTATGGGGAGGCCCTTCAGTGCTTGAAAACGAGACCAATAATTATGAGAGCACCTACCTTTCACACATACATATAAATAATACATATATATACAAATATATATTTATATATATATATATTATATGTATATGTATACATGTATATATATAAATAGAACGACGTCCCATGCTTGGTATGCTTGGCGCTTTAGCTCAATATGTTGCCCCCGCCGAAAAACAAGCAATGTTAACAAGATGATTGAAACACAATGATATCAGAACCGATCAGGCACGCACTTCGAGAACAGTTGAAGCATCCCATGTGGTACTACGGCTGGCTTTGGAAAGCAGCACCCATGGCTTCTGTTCGCGCTTCCGGTTTAGAACAACTCAAGCGACTGCGCGAGGGGTTGATCATAGAGGGGTCCACCAAACAGCATGAAGCCATAGCGATCTTCGGCTGAGTTCCGAGTCCTTGGCCAAGAGGCTGGGCACAGTGGCAAGGAAAAAGATGCGTCTTGCCCTGGGATTCAAACCACCATCAAAACCATGGGGACTCCTATTAATATAGCCACCATTGTTTACCTCAGGAGTGTCATCCAAATTGGGTCAACCCCCATCTTTTGATGGGGGTTGAACCCTGGGGTCTCAAGGCCAAAACCGTTTTGCTCTGGCAACAGCTTTTGGACTTCACAAGTATCTCACGCAAAGATGTATCATGCTGTGGATGGACGAAGTCCTGCACCACCCAAGAAACCCTAGAATGAGGATTCCCCTCTAAATACCAACAAACAATGGTTTCCCATGGTTTCCAAGTGGTGCAGGATTTCGTCCATCCACAGTATCATATCATTCACAGCTGCTGCAACTCATGGATACACTCCCTTAGACTAGCAGCTGGAAGCCTTCTGGCCGATCCTGTACATGGAACCAAGTCTTCCATTTCGAGGTCCGTTCGGGAGCTTTCATGGTCTGGGGAGGGTATCCATTGGGTTTGTCTCCAAATGGGTGACCCCGTTGGAAAACAAGTGGGACAACCCCGACGTGGGTACCCTTCAACCAGCCCAAGCAGATTCGTTCAACAGCACCCAGTGATTCCATTCCCCGTATAGCAGGTAACCAAGGGAACCGCGCTTTAACACCAAACAAACAATGCTGGCTCCCTGCTATAGTGGCAAATGGGATCCACTGGGGCAATCACGCAACATGTCCCCCATTTGGTTTACTTATTCATCGAAGAGAGACTGCCGAATGTGCCTTCTGCCTACCGTGTCGCCTCATAGACAAAGCTCAGCAGGGCGGAAATGGCGAAGATGGCGGCAAACCACCTCAGCACCGAAGAAACCGTCCCCGTTAAACCGACAGGTCCTCGGTTGCTTTCTGCTCCCCTGCTAAAAAAATCAACTTTTAGTGGTTTAATTCGGAAAACCCATTCGTTGCATCAACAAGTTATTCAGTCCTAACAGCCCTTGGCAAAACGCACCAAAGGGTCAGGCTTGCCCAGCCCCGGCGCTCAGTGACTCAGGTGCTTCAGCGGCAAAGCTGGCTGCTTTCTGGGTGAGGAGCTATGGAGTTGCTTTCGGAAAGAAACAAAACCAAAAACTGGTTTGAATTCAAAAGGTGTCGACCGATTTTTTTCTCCAACCACTTGAAGATGAACATCATATGTGAACAAAAAAGCAGCAAAAAGCGGAGAAAAAAAAGAAGAAAAGAAAAAAGAAGAAAACAAAACCAGCGAGAACCGCCTGTCACATCGGTCCATCTTAGACTCAGAGTGCGATCTCATGTAAGCCACACACAAATCCATCAATTGAATTATTGGTCTAGCCACCCAACATCACCCAACCACTCAAAGGGGTCGCACCCATGCAACGTCCGTCTTGGATAAGCCCACGAGGCACAGACCCCCAGGTCCTTGAAGTGAAGTGGAAGCCAGCTGATTCCGAGTCAACCACTCCTCACAACCCTTGGTATTGTAGCAAACATGGTTTGTTGCAGCCAAACCAAAAAATGAACAGAACCAAAAAAACTGACAAACCAAGAAACATGCCAAGAACAGTGAAGTTTATTTGAAGCCCGGCTCCCGAGCATCAAGATCCGGTCCAAATGGTTGCGAAATCCCAGAAATCGCACCGTTCAGAAAGCCAATGGAATGAGTCGATTCCCAACCGAAATGAAATGCCAACACAATCATGTCCCATGGTTCCAATCTGCTGCGATGTTTGTTTTTTCCACCAGTATTTCGCCAATCAAACCAAAAACAAATACAACCGTTCTGCGATCCCAGGTGCCCTGCTAAATCGCCTGCCCGAAACGCTTAAGATACCCATGATCGAACCTTGCGGACGAGATACCAGCGCCCAAGCCCTTAGTCGCCAGGAAAGCGTGCACTCCTACCCAGACCTCCAGTGGATTTCTTAGAGGGATTGCACTCTCCAGCCTGCTTTTGTCCCATGTCCAAAAATCCCAACCCAAGAAACAGTGGTTGGGACCCAGCTGGATTTTGTATTGAGCCCCACCCTTCCCAGATTCCTGTTTTGGGCCAGCAAACAGGTATCCAAACACTCCCAGACCTCCAGCGGCCATGGAAGAATTGCATCTTTGAAGGAAACCCACAATTCACATTTCTGAAACCCACACAAAGATCAGTCTCGGTTGCTTTCTGCTCCCCTACTCAGAAAGTCTAACTTTTAGTGGTTTAATTCGGAAAACCCATTAGTTGGCAAAAAGTTCAAGTCCTAACATCCAAGCAAAACGTACCAAAGCTCGGTGTCTGTTTTGGGTCAAATAGACGGCCCTTGATTGATTTAGCAGGTAAACCAGGCATCGCGCTTGCCGATTCAACCCAACCTGCAGGTCCGCAGCCTAATCCTTTTAAGGAGGCGACTGAATGCCCTCTGGCTGAAATCCCTTCTTGGGGATCGCTGCCACCTAGTCCCCAGGGTTTAACCTCCAAAAGAAAGGTTGACCCAACTTGGATGATGACAATCCTCAGGTAAGCAATGGTGGCTATATTAATATGAGCCCCCATGGTTTTAATGATGGTTTGAATCCCAGGGTGCTTTCTGTGTCCTCCGTCATAATTTGGATTTAACAAGCCCCGAAAATCCTGTAAAGAAATAGGTGACGTCCCCTTCAAAACAACTCCAGAAGCACCTTTCCAGAAAAAAGGCACCCCAAATGCATGGTTCCCTAAAATAGCATCAACAAGAAGGGGTTGTCTTCGGTTAAAGCAACCAATCATGGTAGAATGCGGTACAAAGCGGTACACAAGGCGTGGCGTGCTGTTTCCTCCAAACCGAGCCACGGATTGAATGGCGCGACTTGGCTTTGCACCATCCCAAAAGGTGATTCAAAGGGAAGTGAAAGGACACCGGTAAACAATGCAATGGACTCATCTCGGACAAAATACCTCACGTTTTGATATGTTGCTTGTTACACATGAGCATAAGCAACCTGGCATGTTAGGAACTAGCGACGAACCAACAATAGCCACACAATAGCTACCACACTGCAAAATGATGCTACAACCTGTTGTACGACAAGCCCAGGTTGGGAGTGACATATTGTTCTGACGCTTTCGTGGACATCCGAAATACACGGAAGTTCATGCAACCACTAGGCATTCATGAGGGCATTTCCCGTTCAAACCCAACTAACTCCCCTCCTGTCAAGCCCCGGTGGTATCCTCAACAGCAACCCCCCTCCCGCCCGGCCCCCGCAGAACCCTTCCTTTTGAACCCTCCCTACCAAACCACCCCAGAGCTTTTTTTGTGGGTAGAGACCCCATAGCTTTCAGCTGGGGAGAAAGCAACGAAGGAATCCCCTCAAGAATGAAAGTGGTTGTCCTACCCCTTCAACATGAAAACTCAGCTTCCCTCTAGTTGGTGACTTGGAGGTTAGCAGGCGGAACCCGGGCGCCAAATCCCCAAACCTGAAAAGCGGGTACCCTCAAACTACCATGCCCTTACGGAGCTCCGGGTAGCGCCTTAAATGCCTCCATCTCTTCAATTTGCCAATTCCAAACCAGCTCCTGGTAGCTCCTTAAGCTCCATCTCTTCAACTGCAAACAAATGCATACCAGCTCGACGCGGCCCCCTTCCAAGCACCAGGGGGGTGGTCCAATGGTCCGATCCTTTCTGGGCCATCAACTTGATGAATCCCCCGCCTGTGTGGGGTCCAAGGGATCCATATCTTTGACAACCGCTCAACGGCTTCTTTTCAAGCACCAGCCAGTTACCATAGGGAATCCGGATCACTTTTAGGGAAGCCCTACGTGCAAGGTGGCGTAATCTGGGGTCAGGAACCAAACTAGGCAGTGGCAATAGTCTAGTGGCGGAATCTCAAATTAAAAGGCAACATTGAAGGAAAAAACAAAAACAGGTGCCACATGCAAGTTGCTCCCTCTTGAAAACTGCACACTTTCGCTGAAGCCCAGCTGCGGTAGGCCGCCAGCGCTGGCGCCAGCAGGGCCAAGGTCCCGAGCAAGCTGCCCGTCTCTGCGAAGCCGCTGCCGAAGGGCCCGCTCTCCTGGCTGAAACGCGGCTTCTTCCACTTCGAGTGGATGGGCCCAAGAGAAGTCACCACACTGCTTTGTATTCTACTAAGAAAATGGTCCAAGCCCCCCCAAGTGACTAAAGTCCGAAATGGAACTCGGGAAGAGCGGCAAGGGATACGGGCATTTAAAAAACGAGGCAAGCCTCATAGAGGGAGGTACATAGTGTTAAACAAAAGAAGAGCATGATCAGAGGCAGGCTCTTGTTGCAACCTTCATAAACCTTACCAACCTAGCCTGATTCGAATACCCGCTGGTTGAAGCACTTAGTGTAAAGATTGAGGTTTCCTTGGTAACTGCCTCCTTTTAATGGGATTGACATCATACCTTCGCACAAAGTGCCATTAACCGCTGCTGTCCCATTCATAACCATGGTTATGGCTTCTTAAGATCGTGGCATGATGACGAACTGATGGCACAATGCTAAGACTCACGAAGACGCCAACGCTAGTAATGACGCAAATTTGCCGGACATATCCACCAAACAAAAACGGCTCGTGCAAAGCACAATAAAACACACACACACACACACACACACACACACACACACACACACACGCCCAAGGGCTGTTTGAAGACATGAAATGGTTTTGATTTGCTCAAGTCACCAGGAAAACCACTAGCATATTTCCGGCAGTGAAATCGCTTCCAAATCAAACTCCAACAGGGGAAAATGCAACATGTTCTGCAGCCAAAGGAAGTCGTCCTGAACCGTGTTCCACAACCATGAAATCAACCCTCATCTAAAAGAACCCCCTGCAATGTTCATTTGGCTGTGGCTCAAAAAACCGGGACCAAAATGGAACCCTGGTAAGTGGAAACATGGACCAAAACCTGCAGTTTGCCCCTCCTGTTTAATTTTGAGCCACGCCCATTTCAGCAATTGAAAGTTTTGGAGCTCATGCGATCTCAGTTGTTCAATGACCCTGAAAAAAAAATGAACCCTTTTGGGGGAGGACCATTTGTTCGTGGGGGAGCCACCAAAAAAAAGGGAAACCAATTGGCGCCACTGAACAACTCAGCGATTGAACATGCGCCTGCTGAATGAAGGCCATCCCATCCACCTCATGCCTGACATCTGACGAGTCGATGCGTCGATGCTCACAACCCGAGTCGCGTGGATTTCCGTAAGGAAGCGGGGATCCGGATCCATTATACACCTGAGCATCGCAACTTGTAAATGGTGGTTTCCAACTTTATTTGTTGAAAGAGCAACATGTTTCAAATGGTTGCAAGGAGCCCTGAAAAACAAAAGCTGAATCCTTGGTTGCGCGGAAGAGTTTGAAGGGGGTTCCCCCGTCTTTTGCAAGGCGGAATCCAGTGGGTTTCCTGGGACCCTTGAAGCTCTTGAACCCGGAAGACCTTGGAAGGGATCTGGAAACAGGGTGCCTCTGTTGAGCTCTGGTTGCTTGTCTCAGTTGTTCAGGGACCCTGGAAACAAAAGGATTGGAACCCTTTTTGGGGCTTGGACCATTTTAGTGGGGCAGCCACCAAACAAAAAGGGAAAAAGACTTGGCGCCACTGAACAACTGAGTTGCTTGTCTTGTGCTCGAAACTCAAGAGCTAGGGCTATAGACCCGCAGGTCTTGGTCTTTGTCTCCATTTGCCATGCCATTTTGTTCACCACTTGAGCCACCGCCCTAGTTTTTGGGCAAAGGGCAATGGAACTGGGCAAGAGCCGTGGCGGTCCACAGGAGAAGGCAACCCGAGAATAAATCCAACTGGGTCCTCCAGATTTGAGAAGTTAGAATAAGGGTACCCTCTGGTTTTCTGTAGTCTTTTTTAATCTCTTCCCCCTATTAATGAATGCCCTCAATTAATAAATGGATTTATACATAATAGGGGGGGGGCGTATTTATTAATAGGGGGAAGAGATTAGTAGGGGAACCCTCCCAACCACCAAAAAAGGATGGGTAAAAGTTGGCACCTAGCTGGGGGACCTAGTGTCACTCATTACCTACCACGTCCTTACAGAACTCCTGGTAGCTCCGAAGGGCTCCTGTATAAAAGCAAATTTGGACACCCCCCGCTCCGTGGCAATTCCCCCTACCACCAGCTAGTTACAACAGGGAATCCAGATCCCTTTTGGGGGAACCCTAAGTGCATCCACAGGTTGAGATATCTGGGGTAAAGAACCAAACTAGGGACTGGCAAGAACCCAGTGACGGAATCTGCAAAACCGGACGAAAAGCCCAAAAGCCCCATGCAGGTGCCACGTACAATCCCACAGAAAAAAAAATGGAGAAAAAAACGAAGAAACCGTCGGGGGCATGTCGGGCGAATCGATCCTCTCGAAAAAGCAACGAGCTCGGACGTCCGAGCCCTGCCTCTCCACAATCATGGCGACCAAACGTCGCTCGCCGTAAGAACGGCGCGTTGCTTCCTTGGGATTGTTCCTCCGTGCAAATCGCACAGAAATGGCTGTGGGTCAAAGATAGGCACCCAAAATGGGTTGCCCTGGTAAATGGAAACATGGACGATCAAACCTGCGCTCCGATTTCTGGTGGTTTGATATTGACCCACACCCAAATGGCCAAACAATCCCAGGAGTGTAAAATTGGCAGAGCTCCTCCGAGAGCTCTTACTCTCAGGTATGCAAACTGAATTCTGCCTGGCGAGGAGCGCAAAACAGCTTGTGGGATGCTCTTGGGGGCGAAGAGTCAGCTGATACCTCAGAAAGTATTACAGGAGTATAACTCTTCCTGACTGCAAATATGGCTGTACCCCTGGTGAACATAAAAATCGGTGGTGCATGGGTGTTCCGCCCCAAAATGGGACAAATGCATAGGTTACGACCCAAGCGACTCATGTGAAAGCGACTTCCTCAGCCAGGCAGGTTCAGACGGACCAGGATTTAGCAGAACGATCGGCTTGAGCCGACCTTTGCGAGGCCGAAGCGGCGAAGCGATGCGAAGTGATGCGAAGTGATGCGACCGTCGCCGAGGAGACTTCGCACGAGTGTCAAACCCGCAAGGATCCCCGAGGTTTCGGGGCTTAAGGAACTTCGCAAGAGAGAAACACCTGACAAAGCACGAGGGATGCTTGAAAAACCAAAAAACGTTGCAAGACCAAAATGCAGCGTCCGTGAGTTGCCCTTGCTCCTACTAGAGACTCCAAACCCCACACATTTGTAGGTTCTGTCCGCAAAGTTTGGCATTTTTCTGACTGTGGAAACAGGCTCGACTTTACAAGATAAAGTTCGGATTTTGGGGAAGGTAAGCCCCTTTAGCATCATGGGTGTTTGAGTCTTCAGACGTAGCTTTCAGGGTCCGTCGTAACCCTCATGGAAACAGCGTTGGGTTATGTTCGCTTCTGGGCGCCAGCTGTGGACTCCGATTGTTTCCCGTAGTACCCCGTAGAGCAAACAACATCATACGTTTTCCGAAAAGCTTGGCTTCTCCAAACGTTGATGTTGGAAGGGGAGCAAAAAACAAAATCTTAGCAGTTCAGTGGATTTGGATTTCAACCACTCAACCACAAAAAGCATGTAAAATGCTTCCCAACAGCAACCATGAAAACTCGTGGAAAGCGAGTAGAAAAAAATGGGTTTCATGGGGGTGGCAATTTTCATTGGCATTTGACGGGATGAAGGAGGAGGGATGGTGCGTGGCGTGCCTAGAAAATGCGTCTGTGAGCTTTTGTGCTGATATTCAGCTAGGTCTATGTATGTCCGGACTCCTATGTCCGGAGGAAATACTAGGTCCTCCAGATTTGAGAAGTTAGAATAAGGGTACCAACTTTTTCCTGTAGTCAATTTTAATAGGGGAACCCTCCCCCAAAAAAGGGTACAAGGGCACCACTGGGGGACCTAGTCAGGAAAAATGGGGAAGAGTCAACTGGAAAACTTGAAGTTACCAAACAAAAAAACTCGACTTGATCCTGTGGTCTACGTTTGCTTTTGCAGGTTCCGGGGTCTTCAGAAACGAGTCATCTAAAAGCCTGACAGTTCCAATCACAAATGTGGGTGGAATCTGGTCACAAGTTATCATACTGTGGATGGAGTTTTTTTCTGCACCACCTTAAAACCCATGACACGATGATATTCCTCGAAATACCAACAAACGATGGTTTCCCATGGAGTTAAAGTGGTGCAGGACTTCCTCCATCCACAGCAGCGCATAAAAAATCCCGGAATTCCCCCAATGAAGAGGGAACTTCCATGACTTCCATGCTGGGATCGCGCTCGGTACCGTGCATGCTACAGTGGTCCCCTCCCAAATCGCGCCCAAGTGTTCAGAGATCTGCACCTATGGTCGACCCGAGTTCACTGGATCGGGAAACACCGCCTTTTCCCAACCGAATCTAGCAGGATGGATGTTGATTTCCCTGGAGACCCAGGAAAGCAAACCAAAATGTGGGTGTTTTTTTAAGTAAGGTTAAAATTCCCCCCCAGAGTTGTGGCTTCCTTTCTTTGGCATCCCTGGGAAAAAATGGTTAAAACAAGGCGGTGCCCTCCAAAAAAAAATGGACCCACCGACTTCCCCTTGGGCCGGGTATCCTCACCGTGAGCCTCTGCACCGCGCGAACTTCGGGACCCGGAAAAAAACTCCGCGCGAAACATCCCCAGCGGAGCTGTCCAGCCTGGGTTCACCAGAGACCTCCTGGGCACGCGAAAGAAATCCCGTGGACTCCCCGGAAACGCGGGTCCAAACGCGCAACTTGGGCACTCAAGTTGCGTGAAAAAGAAGAGGCTCAAGAGGAACCAAGTAAGAGACAAAGGCTTAGGATTTATTGGCTTGGTTCATTTGAGAGTGTCTTTTTTAGGGGGACTCCCCAAAATGTGTTTTTTGCTTTAGGTGTTCCTTTTAAAAAACATCCAAAAAGAGGTTGCTCAAGAAAGACAGACCCTTTTGCAAGGGAAACCTTCACTCGGTTGACGGTGGAAGTTGGTCAGAAGTCCAAACCGTTGGCGACCTAAAAAGAAGGGATCTTTCAGCCATCGTTCAGCTGTTTGGCTGCCCCTGTTATATGGGATGACCATTGTGGAAAACCCACTAAAATGGGCATTTGGGGGCCAGGGCTTGATTCCCTTTCCATTCTTTTCGACCATCCTTCTCTTCCACCGGATCCGTATCCCTGGAGGTTTGCTACGATTCGGATCAGAAAGAATTCGGACATGGAAGGCCCTAGACTCGCGGAAAGTGGTTCAATGGGCCAAATCCTTCCAACACAGGAATGCAGAGTCGAGCAACATGGGGGTGACTCGCACCAAATTGGGGCGCTTCTGTGACTTGCACTTGGCGGAAGTTGAGATGCGGCATCCCCATGTGATTTTTTTGGGGAAAATGGATGGATATCCCTGGTAGTTGATTGAACCGTCAGGTAAACCAGGGCCCTCTATTTCTCAAATCAACCAAAAAGGACACCTATGGGCATCCCTCGCAGCCCAGGGCAAGGGATCTGCGATAAAGCTACGCCGGCAAAAAGGATGCCGGTGAGAAACACAAGGCCGTAGAGAGAAGAGCAAGGTGACCAAACTGGGCTGTCCTCAGATCCCCGGCTAAAAGTTTAAGTTTTAGCGGGTCAAATGGAAAACCCCACTAAACGCTAAAAGGCTAAAAAGCTAAGGGGATGGCTGGGAGCCACCAATCAAAGGGTGCTCCTTCATCACCTGATTGTTAGACCACGGTGGCAAGGGTGGCACTGCACTTGGCAAGCAAAAGGCCTAGAAGCTACGCCCAGCTGTTCAACCTAGTCAGCTGCAACAAAAACTATGTGTGGTATCAGGATGGTCGGTCAGCTAAGCAGCCTTACAATCCTTACACTCTACTTAGACTCTGTCTTTGTATTTACCACCAAAATGGTCTTCCTAAAAAGTGACGAAAGTCCACCAACTAAGGTCCACCAACTCGGAAGGTGAGTACAAGGTAACGGTCAAACACCCAAGAACTGCGCTGCGCCCAACTCCCCGAAAGAAAAAAAAACAACAACTTTGGGGCCCTACGGCATGCCTCCGGGCCCGCCGTTGGTTTCCTCTCACGCGACAAAAGGTCCGCCAGACTTAGACCCGTGGCGGGACCTAGACTCCTAGACCCCTGCAACAAGTACGAAGCTTGCTTAAAAAACAAACAAAATGTGAAAATGGAAGAAACCCAAAGGTGTTATTATCTTGGAAAAAAAACACATATGAAAACGGAGGAAACCCAACAAAAATGCAAAACCGAAAGCGCAGGAGTTCATTTCCGGCAAGATTGGGTCCCCGGGCATGAACTTCTGCTTCACCTCTCCCAGCAGCCAGTCGAAGGATTGCTTCGAGAGCTTCTCCTTCGAGTCGAGCCCGGCGGAGTCAGGAGACACAACCGGACCAATTGGCAGGGTGGGGCCACCCCTTGGTTTCAACATGTTTCACCAACGGGTAATCATGATTCTTCCCTTGTAAAGGTGGTGCTTAAACCATATATATGTTGCCCCACCCAGCCAGTTAATTCAGGGTTGCTGTTGACCCCCCTGCAAAAAGTGAATAACTTGTTGGGGGGTTCGCCCAAAAGTTAAAGTCTAAAGATCCGCGCAATAGAGGTCAAGACTTGGGCCCCTATCCAAGAAAACACCGGACCGACCGTTTCCCAATCGTAGCACGTCACGCTTCCTGCGATATCCATCCTACACCTCGACCTCTTTCAAGCCTCGAAAGCTGAGGTGCCTGGGACCCGAACACCAGCCACGGCCGCAACTAGACTGTTCTCCAAGCAGACAGAATATACTTGGCTTCGTGTCTCCCAAGGAAGCATCGGCCAATCTTGACAGAACCTCACAGCTCCGACCTAGTGAGACGTGTTTCGATCAACGTGAAGGTAAAGATACTAGGTCCTCCGGTAGAGAGGTTAGAACAAGGGTACCAACTTTTTTTTCTGCAGTCCATTTTAGTAGGGGAACCCTCCCAACCAAAAATGGGTTTACATAATCCCCACTTAAACCAAGCAGAAGAACCCCTACTAAAATGGCCATGGGTCAAAAGCCGAATCGTACCCCCAGTGAACATCCCAATCCGAACTAACACAGGTTCTAAAATGGGTGGTGCACCTACCCCGAAATGGGAATCCAGTGGTTTTGACCCACCGCCAAATGGCGCCAACGGGTTTCAGGCTTCGGGCGGCTGATGGGCGCGGGACTCCGACTCTCTGCCGTCCTTCTCCACGATCTTCCGGGATGCCAGGGCGCAGCGCAGGTGCGCGTTGAGGATCACCTGACACGGAGCAAAGGACGCAAAAAAGTTGGACAAACGAACAAGCGGGGATACGGAGGGAGCAGGGATATGGGCACTACTGGGGGACCCAGGCTTGGCTTCACGCAGGCTTTACTCAATTTATTTCCCTGAGGCTCCCAATGATTCTTGGGCCCTGA